TCAACAAAACCCTATTTTGTGGTTCGGAGATTCTCCCTATGTATGCTTGAACCCTTCTTTTTCTCTTGTGTGGCGCTTCCCATTCCAAGATTTCCTCAACCAAATTCGTCACCTACTCATTCTAATAAAATCAACTCCTCCCAGTCCCTATAACATAGCCTTCCTCCTTCCAAACCCATCCCCTGTACCTTTGATCCCTCTAACCTAGTTCAGCCTTTAATCTCACCTCCTTCCCTTCAAATCCAGCCATCACCTTTCTGGACCTGCAAATTTGCCACAAGATTTACCTCCATTGAAGTGTGTTCAATTCAAGCCCTAAAAGTTGTCCGGAACCCACCTAACTGTTTCCCATGACCCGAGTTCATTTCCTATCTTCCTCAGGCTGATCATCCTCTTGTGTTTCTATTAGAAGTCACTATCCAATCCTAGAACCTGAACGTATTCATATCATAGTCAATCCCTAAACTCAAAATTTCGTAACACTAACCCTTCTATCTAAACATCTCTGCTCATGCTATACTCATGTAGGAGCCAACGCCATTGGTCCTACATTAGAGTAGGGGAAAATGAAACCATAGATTGTTGAGAATAGCCAAGATCAAGTAGGGGAATAGTGTTGGTGAATGACATGTGAACGACAATTTTGAGAGAGTTGGGGATTGTGGCTCTTGGCTCAGTAGTTAGGGAATTGAGGCCACAACATAATGTTAGGGTTTCAATTCTACTGCTTACCTGCCAAAAAATGTTTTAAAAACTGCACTAGAGGTTGACCTAGAGAAGTTTCTAGTCTACTGCAATTCAGTTCAACCAGCGAGCCATTTGAATTAGTCAAATAGAAACGAATGAAGAAAATGAAAATTCACATTGGTGGAAAGGGAAGGCATTTGTGAAATCCATGCAGGCGCAGGGCATGCGGGGGAGGGTGATGTGCAAGAAGTGATTTGGAGGTGAGGAAGTTTGGAGATCTTTTGAAAGGGAAAACAGGAAGGTTAAGCCTATAAAATGTTTTGGGAGGATACTGTTGAAAAGGGCGTGGTGATTATTCAATAAAGAGTGGGGTGGTGAGGGGAGGGTGGTTCTCAATAGAGGGATGAAGGGTTTCACATTTGATATTGTTATAGATGGAAGAGAAAAAATGTGTACTGTAGAATGATAGTCACAATGTTTGAAAACGTGCCTCAGACTCGCACCTCAGGCTCGGAACTTGAGCCATAGCCTGGCTGAATTGCTTGGGCAAGTCCGAAAAGACTCGCCTGCCAGAGTCTGCACCGAGCTTGAAAACTTATTTCATGTTGTTTCAAATTTTCAATGAAGACAATATTGCAAATGATCTTTCTCCTTCTGCAAAGGTCCCCTTTTGACATATAATTTGTTTGTGGGTGGGTCTGCAGTTTTTTAGCTTTTCCCTTCCACATAAGGCCGTCTTCGACCATTTTAGAATTATGATTATTATTTTATTTGTTGGTGTGTGGGTCAACAACTTTTTATCTTCTTCTCTTCCATGTGGCTCTATTTAAGGCCCTTTTGGAAAGTTGTAAATTTGCATATAAGGAAAAAGTTTATATAGAGCCGAGGCTCTAAACAATCAAATTAGAGCCTACCGCAAAAATTTCACTAGAAGAGGTTGTTTTGATGCCCAAATATCCTCAAATTAATCTCGACATGAAGATGCATGGACATGAGAAAAAAATGGATTTTAAGTTTTGGAAATAGTGCATCTTGTAACGCATTTTTGGACCATCAATTTTCAAGATTTTATAACTAAAGTTGAAAAATATATTTTAAGGCTATCACAAATATTTCCAGTATTGAAACCACATTTTTGGACACTATTTGAAGGTGCACTTTACTTTGATTGTTTAGAGCCTCGGCTCTATACAAACCGCAACCTTAGTATAATTCGTTGGTTGCTTAGGCGGCCTGACACCCAAAACGCCTAAGCGGCCGAATCCGCATCTCACAGCTGTCTGATAGAACTTGCCTTGCAACTTGTCCTATATATATATATATATATATATCATCATCATCATCATCAATACTTTTTCTCAACTAATTAGGGTCGGCTACACAAATCCTGGTCCGCCATTCTGCTTTATTAAGGGCCATACTCTCAATGAAGCCATAAGTCCCTATATCTTTTCTCATTGCTTCCAACCATGTCTTTTTGGGTCTACCCCTTGTTCTTTTTTAGCTTTCCACTTGAACTAACTCACACCTCCTAACAGATGCTGTACTGGGTCTGCTCCACACATGGCTAGCGCACCTAATTTTACTCTCTCATCTTATTGCCTATTGGTGCCACACCTAAATTCTTCTGAATGTATTCTTTTCGAATTCTAT